ATTTAATCTTCTTTTTGGTTGTACCCATTGTACCAGTACCTAAAGGCAGTAATGGAATTGTTTCATTGTGTGGAGATGATAAACAAACCATAAACAGGTTTGTGGTTTCAGATTCATATCAGATACCACATACTGAGGATTTAAAAAAATAGAAAAATTTAGCTTAAGTCATGCATATCAACAATTCAAGATGAAGAGACAGAAGATGTACTCACAATTAATACTCATTGTTGTCTTTATTGACCCACTTGATTGCAATTTGGTGTGCACAGTGTAAATTCAAATTAAGAAACTCAAACAAGTAATGAAGAGAGAATGATTTGTTCGAACTACTTTGTTCTCCATGTAGGTTCCAAGTAAAGATGGGTTGCACAGTTCCTGCAGATATGACTGTACCTTCCTAGTATGAAGAGTATCTAAGGGGAGCAACTTATGCAGATTAACAGTGCCACAGACATAAAATGGAAAATGAATTGAAGGACATTCACCTCTTAAAATATAAGTGGATGCTATTTTGATGTTAGGAATTGATCATGCTCATGACCTTATCTTCAGAAAGTAGTTTGGATGTAAATTGTTTTTCAATTTACATCCAAAATTTCCATACACATGCACTAAATATGACAACTATTATGGGACAGTATTAATGGGATTTTCCTTCCAAACTTTTTGTTTAAGGTAGTGTGGAAAGCTAACATCTTGATTATGTCATTATTTTCTTTTTGCTATCCATTTTAGTTGTTTCTACTGTTGAAAGTCTTCAAATGACATTTTTATTATTTGGTAATGTTCTTTTTTTGTTATTCTGTATCACCAGTCTATAAGATCTTCCTTAACATCTACAGAGTCCATTCAATTAAATCTGTTTTTATAATCAGTGTGCTGCGAAAACAGTTAAAAAAAAAATTAAGACAAATCATGTGAGATGAAGAAGTCCTCATGTCAGTCCCTTTTGCTCAAGGTAACATTTCATTTTTAGAATCTGGATCAATGATTTTCCCTTTCCTCGCTGTATGCTTGACATTTGCCCAACTTGTTGAATGTTCTTGGAAGATCTTCATGAATTTTATACCTCCATTTATTTTGATCACAAGCAGTAGTAAATTTATGATGAGTGTTTACCCCAGAGGATGCAAATATTGATTTGATAATTTCAATAGATTTATTGAACATCTGACACTGATGAGTGTTTCAATGCAAAACTCAAGTCTATCAGATAAATCACTTAAATTTTTCTTAATTTTATGGAATATATATATATATAATCATTACCATATATTCCTTTGTTCCTCCTCACTTTTTTGTCTCATCAGTTATTATTATAACTACAGCCCATCATTCTGAAAAAGACAACTTGGTTGAATAATATTTGGCTACACTAGTCACACGAGACATCTTCCCCACTCTGTAGCCTATAACTCTCTTCATCTATGTTTATAATCTCACTCCCCCTACTATTGCTTTTTACACTAATCAAAATTTTAAATTTAAGTTCATTTTCATAAAAAGTTTTGCATAGTGAGGAATCAGACAGATCAGGTTTTTGCTAATAATATGATCTCCACCAGAAAATACACCATCCACAAAAACATCTGTCAGTGAGTAATTCCCATTTCTCTGTTTATTTCTCACTTCGTTGATGAAGGACACAGGCATGTCTGAAAATTCTGAACTTAAAACCATTTTTTTCATGCTTCATTTCTGTCATATGATTAATAATTAATCTTTGATAAATCTATTTTGTACTGATTATATTGGTACCATTTTGTTTGTCCTTGTTTTATTAACATCTCTCCTTCACATATATTTAGATATATATGTGTTTATGTGTTTTATTTAACCTGGAGGGAGGTGATAATGCCACTAAGATGCAAGAAGTTCCTGGCAGTGGAACAGAATGAGAAGACTTTTGTTAGGAAGATAGAAAATGGAGATTGATGCTGCATTTAAAGTTTTGAAGATTGTAGGTGGCTGGTAAGCAAGAAACCAGAAAAGAGTTCCACAGGTGATAAATGAAAGAAAAGAAATTATTAGAGAAGCAATGGGTTAAGTGCATTGAAATGGAAGGAGAATTTTTTGAAAAAATAAATTTTTTTTGTAAAATAAATGCTCTTTTTTTCATCATTAGGCTAGACTTATTGATATACCTACATCATACTTCTTATAAAACCCAGGTTGTGTGTGTGTGTGTGTGTGTGTGTGTGTGTGTGTGTGTGTGTTCGTTTATATATTGGATCGGATTTCCTACATTTTTCAACCAATTTCAACAAAACTTCACAGGACTGCATAAAATTACCTTGCGGTGGTTCTGACAGTGCCAAAAATTGGAAAAACAATTGTTTTTGCACAAAATCAATTTGAAAATATGATTAAGAGGCATCGCTGTCGCGAGAATGAAAGAGGGACAACTCATATCGAGTTATACTTATTATGAAAGCCAGGTTGTTTGTGTGTGCATGTTCATTTATATATGGGATCGGATTTCCTACATTTTTCAACCGAGTTCAACAAAACTTCACTTTTTTTTTTGGCAGGTAGTGTTTCTTATTGTCTTGCACACTTTTTTCTTTATTTTTACATTCAGAATACTTTATAAATTCCATTTACAAGACAATTGTTTATACTAAAATTCTATTTAATCGGTAGACTCATAATGATTGAAAACAAAAAAAAAAAAAAACTAATTAAGACATGCATGTCCGTCAACCTTAAACAATAATCTTTGTCAATTTTATTTTTCAGTCTTTATGATGGTCGATACTTGATCTATCTCTTACTGTTACATTCCCGGGCAATGCCGGGCTCTACTGCTAGTAATCCTTAAAAAGAAGAAGAACCAAAGTACATAAGAACTTATTACAATTGGTAGAAATAATTTTTAGGTAAAAAAAAAAGAATCAATGATTTTTGGCAATTTTCTGACAATTATCTCCCACCATTTTTTTTCTTCTTTTTTAACCTTGTAATTATTGCTGTTATTTTGTCAAGTAGGTTTCAATGGCAGCTGAGACCAGCATTCACTGTTCTTGGCATCATATTACAAATGGAAATATAAGGTTTGGGATGGATCCCTTTATCAGCATCTGTCTTTGATAAATGGGAATAGGTGGTTAACAATAGCTCTTCTTTGAAGACTTCTTTAGTAAATTCCCTCCAAATTTACAAGGATATATATCTTTGCACCTGTTGTACAAATCACTGTTATCTAATCTTGGGAGCCCTTAACAGAAACACCTGATAGGCATCCTTAGAAATGAAGGTAGACACTGGACAAAAAGAAATTAGTGATAAACTCCAATTGCATTCTGGAATATTTGGACATTTATCTCAATATCTGGCAGAAAATTTGCCCAGATTCCATAAGAGAAGAATACAGGGAAAAGTTCCAAACTTTAAATGAAGTGACTTTTATTCGAGTTAAAGAATCTGCTGTTGATAAACCAGATAGTTTGGAAACAATTTTGGTACAAGAATTTGGGTTTTGATTTTTGAAATGAGGAATTCTTCATCTCATATAATTTGTCTTAATTTTTTAAAACTGTTTTTGCAGATCATTGATTATAAAAATGAATTTCATTAAATGGACCCTGTAGATGTTAAAGAAGATCTCACAGACTGGTGATACAGAATCACAAATAAAGAACATTACTAAATAATAAAAACTGCATCATTTGAAGACTTTCAACAGCAGAAACAACTAAAATGGATAGTACATGTAACTCAAAGAGAAAATAATGACATAATCAAGATATCAGCTTTCCATCCTACCTTAAACAAAAAGTTTGGAAGGAAAATCCCATTCATACTGTCCCATAATAGTTGCTATATTTAGTTCATATGTATGCAAATTAGTATGGGACACAGTAAAAATATAATATTACTTCTGTCCCAAAATACTTGCAAAATTTAGTGCATAAATTTTGTATGAAAATATAACAACTATTATGGGACAAAGTAAACCCACTCTATCCTATAATAGTTGCTATATTTAACTAAATTCCAATTCCATTTGGGTTCATTATATTCTCTTATGTGCAAATACTTTTGGGAAAGGTATGAATCCACCTCCTCCTCAGCTATGGGTTAATTAGTAAAATCATCAGTATCTCCCAAAAATATCTTACAGTCTAAAAAAAAATATTTTCTGGCTTTAAATAACCTACAATGGGTTGATAAGCTGTGAAACAAATGAGTGCTATATTTAGGGTTAATCAGTTGTGTGACATGCGTGATACACGCTTAGGCAATCATGTATCTTTTGATACAAGACTGATGAGGGAGATTTTTTCCTGCAGTAGGTTGCCATTTCTTTATGCAGTAGATCAATTGCCATCCAAGGCCATTGAACCAGGTCTGTCCTGCTATTTACCCATAGCTGGAGGGAGAAGAAGAGGATTCCTACCTTTCCCAAGAGTATTAGCACGTAAGTGAATGTAATGGATCTGACTGGAATTTGAACTCAGCTCTCCAATTTCTCAATCCAGGCTGCTATCCATTACTCCACTGTAGGGTATGAAATGTATATGCAAATGCAACAACTATTATGGGATAAAGATAATGTAGAAAGACTACAGTAATTTGTCAAAGTTAAAAAAAAAATCCGATTTAGCCATGATACACATAATCTTCAATTCACGTCTGAAAATAATAAAAAGAAATTTAAAAATAATGTCAGTTATTGCATTGGTTCCAAATGTTGACCATTTAGTTTGGTGTAATTAATGCCATTTTTTTTTCTTTACAGAGGAGACACTAACCTAAATATGGAAGCCAATAACATAATCCAATTAACTTCTGTATAAAGAGCATTTCTATTGTTGCAATTTTATTGAATTTGCTCTTACTTTTTGCCCCACCCTAGATAGCGATTTTTTTTAATTTTTTACCAACCACTGTCTCTTCAGTCAGAAAATAAAAATAGGATATTTAATGAAGGTCTCCATTATTAACTTACTCTTCGTGGAAAGTAAAGAGATTGTGCTTTTAATTTTTACGCCTTATGACCATATTACATTGAAACACCAGTTCTTATACAATCCCCAAAGTTAAGCAACATCAAGCCTAGTTAGTACCTAGATGGGTAACTGTTTGGGAATACCAGATGCTGTAAGCCTGAGTGTGTGGGTGGTGTAATGAATAACAGCTCAGAATTGGAAATTGGAGAATCGAGTTTCAGTTTCAGTCAACTTTATTATATTCACTTACATACAAATACCCTTGAGAAAAGTATAAATGCATTTTCCCCCCTCAGCTATGGGTTAATTAGTAGGACTTAGAAAATCATTATTTCCAGAAAATGTCTTGAATCAAAAAATATTTTCTGGCTTAACATTTTACAGTTTATTTAAAGCTGCAAAATGTTAAGCTGTAAAAAGCAAATCAATTTTAATTTTTATTTACTTTTATCACAGCTGAGAAAAAAAAAAAGATTTTACCTCTGTCCCATAATGGTTGTTATATTTAGTATGTAAAATGTGTATGCAAATGTAACAATTATTATGGGACAGTAAAATGGATTAAAATAGGTTGTATTATATATTTCATTATCTCTGTCTCATCATAGTTGTCACATTTAAGGTATAAAATTTGTACAAAAATGTAACAATTCTTATGGGACAGATAATAAAATATATGATCTCTGTCCAGAAATAGGATTAAAAACTATTTGCATAAAATGTTTAATAAAATTCCACAAGTTTGCAGAATTGGTTCTTAAATTTTCTTAGTCTTTAAAGCCATTAACAAAAAAATTTAGGAATGAAAAAAAGAAAATTAAACCTGTCCTTAATTTCATTTGAGATGTAAAAGAAGTAAAAACCTGTCCCCACAAAATTTGAATCCCACTACTGCCTCCAGTAATAGTTTATTAAATTTAGCATCAGAAATGTGTATGTAAATGTAACAATTATTATGGAATAGATATAGTACAATATAGTACTGCTGGTATCTCATAACAGTTGTTCAATGTAGTGTATGAAATATTTATGTCAATGGAACAATTATGGAATAAAGGTAGTAAAATTTAATACTACCTCTGTCCCATAATAGTTATTCAATGTAGTGTATGAAATAAGTATGTCAATGTAGTAATTATTATGGGACGGATGTTGTATAATTAATTTTTTATTTTCCAAAATTGGCCTTCACTTCTTCAAAAAGAAACAAACTTTCTCATGCTGACCTATTGTTCATAGAAGGCAATAAATTAACTTACACTGCCAGATGTAAATAGGAGCGATTAAAAACAAAAGGAAAAATAGAAAGGCTCTTAATGTTTGTCATATTTTTCCCTGTCTTGCTTTCATGACTGGTTGTGATAACATATATATATATATATATATATATATATATTTATACAATTCTCTTAAAGGCTGAATTAATATGTGGAATGCGAGCTGAATATTTATAGAGGTTTTATTAAGGGGTTTAATTAAGCATGCAAACAAATCTTAATGGTTCAAATTGTTTCTTAATGAAGTAACTTTTGATTTATGGTTTTTCTTTTTTTCATTTGAAAAGAAATGTCATTCAGATTTTTATTGATGTGATGCTATGAATGATTATTTGTTTATCAGTTTGTTGTGTAATCTTTAAAAAAATATTTATAAAATAAAAGTATTCATTCATAATTCTAAAAATAAATCAAAGTAGATAATTTTGTTTAGTTTGTTTTACGGCATATCAACCTCAATGGGTTATTTAATGCCGACAAGATTTTTATTGCTGGTAATATTTTCTATCTATCTATCTTAGTATATATTGATTTGGTTTGTTTTGTTTTGTTTTACGGCATATCAACCTCAATGGGTTATTTAATGCCAACAAGATTTTTATTACTGGTAATATTTTTTTAAAAAATGTACTGCTGGTAATAATTTTTCCAAAAAAATATATTGCTGGTATTAAAACCTATTTTTATACTTTTGTTGTGTTTTGACCCCTTTTTTGCAGTTTAACTATTTGCCCATAGCTGGAACCCTAACAGGTGCTACCACCCCGGGTCAGGGTGAACCTAGGAAAACCAGCAATTAAGAGGTGATTCCACGCTCCTCAAAACCTCCTGATCAAAGGCCTTGCTGCCGGATGTAGTTTATCATCATACCCAGGATGGAGTAGATAATTATTTTGTTTATAATTAATGATGTTGTATCTATCAGCTGTTTGAAATGGTTGTAAGAAAAATGTCATTGAAGAAAATTCATAAGGGACACTTTGTTAGGGAAAGAAAAGTTTGAACTTCAGATTGTGAGTGGAAAAATCATGGAGAAAATATTTTTGTTTAAAATGAACATCATACCTCCTTAATTGTTATAATATCAGTTAAACAACAGAATTCTGATGCAAGTTTAAACACATAACATCAACTGTATAATTTATTCTTAGTCAATATAAACTGGATAAAAGTAGAATAAATGTTAAATTGAATTTAAATTTAACTGCTAGAAATTCTGAATAGACTGTGTGAATTATAAATCTAACAAGATGTTTCTTCTGAATTTTATAGCCAAAAGTTAGAGGTGTGTTTTATACAAAAATAATTATGGTGAAGTCATACTATGTTTTATATTATAAAATAGATATATACTAAACTAGCAGTAGAGCCCGGCGTTGCAACAGTAAGAGATAGATCAAGTATCGACCATCATAAAGACTGAAAAATAAAATTGATAAAGATTATTGTTTAAGGTTGATGGACACGCATGTCTTGTTTTTTTTTTTTTTTTTGTTTTTTTTACGAATTGGTTAAACCCAAACTCAAACAAAAACATTGTTTTCAATCGTTATGAGTCTACCGATTGAATAGAATTTTATTATAAACAATTGTCTTGTAAATTGAATTTATAAAGCATTCTGAATGTAAAAATAAAGAAAAAGTGTGCAAGACAATAAGAAACACTACCTGTGAAAAAAAAGTGAAGTTTTGTTGAAATCGGTTGAAAAATGTAGGAAATCTGATCCCATATATAAATGAACACGCACACACAAAGAACCTGGGTTTTATAATAAGCATAACTCGATATGTGTTGTCTCCCTTTCATTCTGGTGACAGAATCATTTTATTGTGTTTTCAAATTGATTTCGTGCAAAAACAATTGTGTTTTTCCAATTTTTGGCACTGTCAGAACCACTGCAAGGTAATTTTACGCAGTCCTGTGAAGTTTTGCTGAAATCGGTTGAAAAATGTAGGAAATCCAATCCAATATATAAATGTACAGACACACACACACACAATCTGCGTTTTATAATAAGTAAGATTATAGAATATATATATCTCTTTCTCTCTCCTTACATCTATAAAGTCTCTCAATAATTGTTGAACACTTTTTGTTAATCATGGCTATATCGCTATTCTCTGTTAAACTCACTTGTCACTTTTACTGCTGCATTATTACTGCTGCTGTGTTATAGCCTTGTTGTCTGGCTGTGCTGTCCCACTTTGGAGAAAATAGAAAATTGCCATTTATTGAAAATAAATGGTTATAATCATACTGATGACAATATCCATGGGTGCCACCATATTTGTTTTTATTGAATACTCTACAGTATCCAATCAAAACAAATGCAGACTAAACTAAAACAACATTCCCCAATACAGAATATAATAAAAGTTCATCAGCTGTGGGTCTGATATGAAACTAATGAAGTTTAAGCTTAAGGGTCCTTAATACTTGAAACAAAATTTTTCAGGGAGTGAATTTTTCAACAAAATCAATGTATTTTTTAATGTTTGCTATTAAAATAAGGCCTTTTCAGTGATAGAATCATAAACCAATGGGTTGAAGTAACTAATGTTGGCCTTATAGAATATGTTCTAATACACATTTCATAGGGCCTCAAAATTCCCCTGTTATTGGTCAGATTTCAAAATTCTCTTGGAGACTTGCAGTGCTTGAATCCCCAACTGTATAGACTCGTTGAGCTCACCAGAATCTATTCATAACCTACATTTTGGCAGTTGGATCTTCAAATCTGTTGTTGCTGGTTATGAAGGGGACCTCCCCACCATATCTTTCCAGCTCAACCCCACCAGCTTTTGAAATCATGTTCATGTTCGATGCATGAGTGACACACGTTTGCAGTGTTTGATATCAATTTCCTTAAATTTTACAATGATTTGAGCCTTAAATTTCAATGCTTTTCATGATGAACAAGATCTTTCATGAACCACTGAAGAAATAAATCTAGACATATGAGATCATCATAACGAAAAATAATAATCTGCAGACAAATATTAACGACATAATTTACCAAAATTTGGTTGTTTCTTTTGACACACCTGGTATAACAATAACAATGATTGTGTTTCACCCCAAAATAAGAAAAAATTGTCAACAAGGATATTTTTAGATAACATTTTTAAGGTAAGCAATCTTTGCAATTACAGTGCATATTAAGACATAGAGCCTTAATAGTAATAAATTAAAATTAAGTGTTCACTTATCTTGTCACCATTCTGAGTTTTGAAGAGATTACATTTATTTATTACTTTATTTACTAATAATGGATTTTAAATCCTTTATAGGTACCTTCACTAATTCAGTATATGTAAGGTTTAAAATGAATTTTAAAAAATGTAAAACTTTTCTTGAAGCTTTCAGTTTCACTTTAATTGAAAGCTCAAGAATTTAAAATTTACCTGATACATGTCTTTGAGTAGACATCACTGTTTTTAAATAGTTTAAATTTCCCCTGTTATTGGTCAAATTTTAAAATCTTCTTGGGAGGCTTGCAGTGTTTGAAGCCCCACCTGTATAGACTTGTTGAGCTTGCCCGAATCTATTCATAACCTACATTTTAGCAGTTGGATCCTCAAATGTATTGTTGCTGGTTTGCGAAGGGGACCCCCCCATATTTGTTCCAGCTTCAGGCACCCCCCCATATCTTTTCAAGCTTCAGGCACCCAGAAGTTTAGGTCCACCATTGAAACAGGTTGCATTGTTTCCTACAATATGGGTATCTATTTGTACACCAACTCAAGCATAATGTGACACAGGGTTCAGTTTAAATTGGTTTGGTAGCCCACATATAAGCAGAGTGGGACAAAAATTGCTCAAGCCCCCTAGACACTTCCCATTTTGGGGATGCCTTAATGCAAGGACCCTCTGAGACTA